AACAGCTGTAGCGATTTTGAATTCAAGCCGCCCATGCTAACACTCACTAATGTAATACCTATACTGACCGCAAGAAGACCACATTACAAGCAGCTTTGACATTGCTTGGACTACAACTATGGTCCAAGAGCCTAATGGAGAGTTCTATGCCTACTTAACTGATGGATGAAAGGTAGGCAAATTCATTTAGAGCTTTTTTCTGAATTACTCTTCACATTCAAGTTATTAACAATATCAGCAACCAAACTTTTCATTCTTTGTCGAATTAATTTATATGCAAATTTTGAAAGGTTATCAAATTTCATTTACCTTTTGTAAGTTATTCTAATGAAAATGTGTTGAGGCCAGTTTAAAGGTTCTGTCAACTAAATTCATTACATCAGTTCTCTTCATTGACACCGTTTGGCAAGGCAAATAATTCAAAGTCAGTTCTGCATTAATAAGTTTTGTGAACCAATTTGTGATCAACCCATTTCTATACCAAAAAATAGTTACATCAAGAAAGTTAATATGTGAATTTTGTTCTTCCCTTGTGGATTGAATTTTGGAGTTATATGCATTAAATTTTTGAAAGAAACTATCACTGGCAATTTGTGGTAGAACAACGAGAGTATCATCAACATACCCGAAGGCAGATTTTGAGAGGGGAAATTAGAAATGGTTTGGTCAAATGTGTCATACTACAGATTTTGTAAAATGTCACAGGCTATAGTCAGCTCATGCAATACAATTTTATTCATTTTAATGATAACCTGAAAAATTTTCTGTTTGAAAGTTTTGTGACAAGTTAAAACTAATAGTTACTGAAAAAATTTAACGGGTGAAATTTCCCTTATTTCCCTCCCTGCGGGTCTGCACTTGACTTACCAAAGATATAATTCACAGCTCACATGTTTCAAAACCCACTATTCTAATTTCCTCATGGCAGACTCGGCGAAAAGAGAAATTAACAAACCACCTATATGTGTGCCATTATGTTGGCAATACACTTTATTATTAAACTTCCATCTATCGCCACCCACAGTACACGTTTTTAAAAATTCTCAATTTTTCGGTTTCCTAGTCGCAGAGCGAAAATATTATTAGACGATGATTGAAGAAGAGTAACACCTCGCCTTAAATGGCATTTTTCTGCGCAGAGCTGTGCACAAACGCGCCTTCACTTCGCGCCACTGTCTCAACGGCGCTGGCAGCGCGTGCGAAACGGGGCCTTCCGGGTCTGCAGCGCCCATCACAACAAGTTCACTCCACACTCTCACCCGAGGAAGTCACCCTCGGCGCGACAACAATATCCCTGCACAACCCTCCAAGATTCTAGACCCCTCCGCCACTCTCTCGAACGGGCCAACGCCGGGCAAGTCGGCACCGCTGGCCCCCTTCATTTGTTCGGAGGCGCAGGCCACGCAACATTCCTACAAGCTACACTACTGGCCCTTAAATTATCACAAAATTAAACACTAAACACATTCATTTCATGTTATGACCCTTCTTATGTCTTTTGTTGCGTTTTCCTTCATTACTTTACTTTAAATTCCGATGTACACAACTACAACACCCGTCAAAAGGATAACCTACACTTAATCAAAAAAGTACCCTAACAGAGGGCATTGCACTTTACTACGAACTAGGCAATGATATCAATGACATAAACACAATTCATACATTTAAAAGTAAATTGAAAGCTTTCCTGCTTAATAATATGTTCTATAGTGTAAAGGAATATTCAAATTACAACATTTCCCTTCAAAAATATAAATAAGAATTTTTTATCCCATTATACTTTCTGTTTCATTTTAACTGTTTTGAGCTGAAGCAAAGAAAAAAGAATTGGCATATCGCATTCTGTGAAGTAGAAGGAGAATGCCCAACAAAAATCTGTTTCTCTCTGGATTCGCTAGGTGCATTAGGTGCTGCAGTAGGACTATGTGTACAAATTGAAAGAAGAAAAAAACTGGCCAAAACTTGCCTCCTCACCATTTTAAGTTTTAAATATAGAGTATACCAATATTGTTAAATTTTATGTAGTTGCTAACAGAATTGATATGTATTGTTCTATTATTATTATTATTATTATTATTATTATTATTATTATTATTATTATTATTATTATTATTATTATTATTATAAGTAGTAGCATTAAAATAACATTTTTTAAATGTTAAATTATCTGCTGCTAAAAATAATTATCTACTGTATAATCTTAATCTATCTAAAACAAGTATTGTAATATAAGTTCTAGGCCAATGGCCCCATCTCGATCAGGTTTTGTTCAGTTTCCCTGGTCCCTTGAGCAAATGCGGAGATAGCTCCTTGTTCGCTCTTGAACAGTATTGTAACTTCGCTCTCTCCACCCATGACATCATACTGACTCGTCATACACGATTGTAATTGTATTTGTGACTCAATAAATATTATTATTAGTATTATTCTTTTGACTAATAAGTAATTTTTTACTTCGTCATTTTTAAAGCATTTTAATGAAATTGCAATGTATCGCCGGTTCGGCCGCTTTCGCCGTGACCCGAGACATTTCCAGTCCAAGCAAAGAGTTGCTAAGCGGAGTGCACTTGAGCGAAAGGAAGAAACCTTCATGACATCAGTATCACATCTAATAGCTTCAGTTGTTCATCTCAACTGGTTTTGTAGGGCATTTTGAAACCATTTCAACCTGATTCAAGCGCCCCTCGTGGCGAGCAGCGGCAGCTTCTGCCCGCGAGTCCTATACAACATTAGCGCCAACTTGAGTAAAATGTTTTGGGCGTATCAGCCTATCATTGGCGTTGTTTGCAACAAACATGAATAATTCAAATTTTAATACGCATGATGGGGGCACATTAGCGGCGGCGTTGGTGTAATGTTTAGCGTACCGGAATGTGCATTTTTAAGGGCGAAAAAAATCCTTCGAAGGGGAAGTAAAGACGGCTGTCCCGTGTTAGTAGACTTACTTGCATGTAAAAGGTCCTCAAGCCTAAATGACGTAGCCTCTGAGCTAAATTCGAATCGCCTGTTCGTCGCCCAAGAAAACCTCCTTTCTTCGCCAGCTGGTGGAAACGAGCGTAGCGAAATTCGCGTGGTCAGACGGAAGAGCGGATGAGCCTCATGGCATGTGTCTCATCACGTAAAAATAAGGCATCAATTCAATTATTTGCACCCTACAACATCGAAATATGCCATAAACGGCTCAAGACTAATTATAGCTTCCTTTACGAAAAATTATACTTACATTGCTTGAAAAATGAACCTATGTGTTAAAGTATTGAGAACAATAATGAAGTTTTTTTTTTTTTTCATTTTGCAAATTAAAAAACACGGAAAATAGAAACGGAAAGTGAAAAGGGTGGCAATGTACACACTGATCATACTAAAATGTTTTTGTAAATAATTTTGCTTAATAACGATGAACTGCCTAGATGTAAACTATAGTCTCAACACTTTTGTGGAAATCTTTTCTTTATTGATCTCATCTTGAACATTACTATCATTGAGTTCCAATAATGAATCAATAGTATGTATTTACTTCGTTATGCAAATCCATTTCTCCATTGCACATTAGGTTTCAAATTACAAGCAAAATCTCCCCCCCCCCCCAAAGAATTAGTTGGAATGCTCTGTTGTGATTTACTGATCATTCCGTGGACCTGGATGATTATTCATACAGATAAGCAAAATCAATGCTAATTTTTTTTTTTCAAATTTATTATAAAGTATGATCATGTTAATTATTGATAGTCCTGTGCACACTTTTGTGAGCATTCTTTATTCTCTTTTTATCCCGATCTCCTTACTTCATTCGTAGTCCCAAGAGTGTTAGTAGCATTTTGCTCACGTTTTCAGCCAGCAGCTTAGACTAGATTTAGATGTATTTAGTCAAAAAACAGTAAAAACTGCATTTGACGTATGGGGAGGAGATAATCAGCACACATTTTCTTGAGTTCCAGAATCGCTTCCCAATGTTTTCACTATAAATAGTTAAAAGAGCCCACATTAAAGATAAGTAAAAATAAAATTTCAAAAAGCGGAAGATAAGCAATTTTTGAAAAAACTAGACTTTTTGTTCCCGAGTTATAAAAAACTTTATTTGCAAATATGACTTTTCTGCATTGCTAACAGAATACTAACTTGCCTTTACCTCTACTCTTTCCAGTACAAGCAAAACGAGAATTCAACAAAATGTGCGCATAGTGAAGCTACATTTACATCCAGAAACAAAACAAGGGGCCATCAGAGCCATTTGCTCAATGCATCAGGGAAACTGGACAAAACCCTGATCGAGATGGGCGTCATTGCCCTGGAAGCAGAAGTACATTATTTGTTACTTACATATTCAATCTTTAAAAAAAAAAACATACAATACAACTGTAAACTAAGTAATTATATATCACTGTTTTGTTAAAATAAACATTTTTAATTTTGATTATCAGTATAATAACTAATAGTATAGAACCATTTATGCAGAAGAAAATATTTTACTTTTAACTTAGACTACGATAAGTCGCACATGGTAAACATTCATAGCAAAAGATTTTCCTGGTTTCAAGTCAACATCATGATTCTCTTCTATTGTTTGAGTCAAAAATCATCCCTACCATAAGAAACATGCATACATTTGATGCAAAAGAATTTTCCTAGTTTTAATTCGACATCATGACTCTCTTATTGTTACACTCTAAAATCATTCCTACCCTGAGAAACACTCATACATTTGTTGAAAAGAAAAAAATGTTCCTACTTTCATGGCATCATGATTTTCCTCTATTGTTAGGTCTAAAATCATCTCTACCCAGAAAAACATCAATGGCATCAAGCAGCATACCCACGGGGCTCCTTTTTCAAACAAAAGCTTCACCCCAATATATAAAACATAATCCATTTCTGCATACCACTGGCATTACTAACAGTGGTTAATTTGAATTGTAAGTAAATATTTCCACCTAAACGACATGGAATTCTCAATAATAAAAGAAAATACTATTGATAAGAAACACATAATACAAACTCACCTCTTCCTCATCTTCCTCCTTCAACTGTCTCTTCAAGGGCCACAGCTCACTTCCTTCCTGCCAACAAAATCAGTACAATACTTTATAGTTGCTGCAATCCGGAAATATCACAAATTAGCTGGCATGAAGATTGACATGTGTTAATTAAAAAACTCGCATCCAATTTACTGGATATTTAGACGTAATCCATTGCGAAATACAATGATGCCGAGTTGAAATAAACAGGGTCTTATGAACACTGAAGAAGAAATTTTAGGGTGTAATAGAAAAGAAGCACATATGTAAACTATCTAAAACTGTTGTTTGTCATGACACAAAGTGAAGTTTAAAATTTTTCAAAAGTTGGTAATTTCCTTAAGATTTGCAAGTTTTTTTGGATTCCAGTTTCAAGTCATGGTACAGTATAAAATTTTCTGTATGACAGTGTTGTGCCGAGGCATGCACAACAATAATGAAGAACATGCTTACTCTTTGAGACACTGAAGGCAATTGTGGAAGATTTTTACCAAGAAGCAAAAGGCTACACAAAATTCATCTTTTTTCAGATTACAGAAAACAACTCTGGGTCTGCAGGCTACAAACACAAAAGTGTTTGTAGCATGCAGATACAAAATTGTACTTGCACAGGCTTAACGTGAAATGCATACATGCACTTTATGCATAATAATAATTTGTAAATTCTGTTGCTGCTTAACTTTTCAGTCAGTGAGTAAAATATCTGACATCTATTTAAAATTTAAGGAAAATGGCAGAAATTATCTTTCACGATAAAATTAAAGGAATGGGTTGATTTTGTGTGAAATTCAACCTTAACAATTGTAGATCAGTTACTCCAACATCCTTTAATACTGTGATGCACTCTTCAGAAGCAGACTGTTCGAAGTTTGCTGTCACTATGAATCAATTGTTACTTTTGAAAAAAATGATTTACAAGGTGCTTTTCCTGTCAAGGGTAGAGCTAACAATTATAATTAAATAAAGAAAGCATTACACTAACATCATTTTACATTAATACTTTACGTGTAATGCAATTCATTAACTTCATATTAGCATTTTATATTCTTATTAATATAACGTGTAATTTAAGTAGTTTCCATAGACTTTATCTTCTATATTATTGTTTAATTTAATGAGATTTAGTAATTTGCTAATCCATAAAACTTGTAAATAACACAACTTTAAAAAGTCTCTTAGCCTATGAGAAACAAAACACTACTGAACTAGACATTATTCATAACAGATACAAATACCAATTAGTAGCAACTGTTCTCATAAGCATTTTTAACACCAGAAAAAAAGAAAAATTCTGTTAAGTTCAATATTTAGCAAATCTTAACAATATAACCACATGTTTCATAACCACAACGCGGTCAGCATGTCAAAAAAATACATAAACAAAAGCTGTCACAAAAGTAGAACTTTTAAACATTTCAAAATAAGCTTTATTGCTCCTAATAAAAAAAATACTTTACAAAGACCACCGAAATTAAACACACACACACACACACACACAAAAAAAAAGGCTCACAATATTCTGACAAAATATGCTAGAAGATGTTAATTTCCTCAATTACCTGAATTATTGGAGATTTCAATCAAATTACATTCCTGAATTAAAGCAGGTGAAAGGATTTTCAAGAAAATTTAAAGAGTACTCTAGTAACTATTAATTTACATCTCAATAATGTCAGATATTTTTAGCAATACCACACTTCTTTACAATAACTTGTATATAATGCGTATTAATGTGAAGAGTCCCCTCTTACGAAATACGCAAAAACCTTCCTTTATTCCATCTCATGTCTTCTCCAGCTTTCCTACAAATGTTTTCAACAAAAGTAACTTTTGCTTCAACGTCTCACATTTATGAACCGTAATGAGAATAAAACATTAACTCACTGTGAAATTGTTATCTTCTTCTTGGGGATGATCATCAGGATCCTGTTTCACCTGAAAAAAAAAAAGAATCCAGAAATTGCAGAACTTACAGCACACACCTCTACTCTGAATGCTGATCATTTTCGCATTTTGATAGATTTACACATCGTATGAGCAAGATATTCGCTTAAGTACTGAACAGTAGTACAATTAATAACACGTTGGTCGAGACAGCCAATTGAATTCTCTATAAAATTGCATATAAGTCCAATAGCCCTTTATAGTTTTTTATTGTAACGATTTGAAATTCGGGAAGCTCGAAACACAAGTACATTACAAAATATCTTGTCTTGGATAATTATACTTGATTAAAAATGAAACTTACATTTTCTATTTTAATTACACACTCCGACAATATTTTTATTTGATCCATGTTATGAAGAAAATCTGTGAAGCACTGTTTCAACACAATTAGAGAACATGTTTTATTGTGTTCCAACTCGTATTCTCTGGTCCCAGCTTTCACGCGGCTATGAAACTGCCCACTTTGTTATAATACAATTGCGTGGCTACTTCATGCTACTTGTTGCATGGTGGCCAGCACTGATATGGTCGTGATCATGCGACATCTAACGGCACTTCGAGAAAGACGCGAAATGCCGTGAGAAATTCCCAAGGAGGTTATAATGTATCCTCCTTGGATATTCCATCGTGAAAGCACGCCCTATTCGCGCCAAGAAATAAAAACCGGAGTATTTATTTTCAGTTGATATTCGATTCATAGATTTAAAATGTATACTTCATTAATTCTTCGTGTAAAGTAGGCCGATTTGGAAGTTCCACTGTCGGTATATGCAGCAGGCTACAGTTCACCTCGGAGAGCGATGCTGGAATATGAGCGTGTGTTTGGAAGGATCTTCTTTACAAAATGGACCAGGGTGGTGATATTTTCGAAATAAAATAATTTTATTTGTGTGAAACGTGTCCATGCAAGGGATTTTTTGCGATGAGCTGGAGTCGAACTTTCGTATCCAGTGGAAATGAAAGCCAGAACCACGTGCGCAGGTGTATAATATACCTGACTCGGACACTACGCATAAACGTTTTTCAAAATCGCAATCCGTCGTTTTATCGCGCAGCATAAACTTCTCTATATTACTACATATATACGTATGTATACGGGAATGTAATAATGTACTTCGTGTGGCGATAGATGGCAGTTGGCAAGAGCATGTAGCATGTCCGAATAGCTATCCAAGACCAAAGGAAATAGAAAACTAATACGGGAAAGTGTGTACCACTCTATAACACCTCTAGTTCGTTATCAGGGTCTGACAATGATTTTTTTTGCCGAAAATCCGCCGTTTTTTCGCGCATTCACATAACTTTCTCCATACTACGTACATATGTCGGTGGCAGCTCGTGCTTAGGTTGCACACTTGCACAACCACGAGATAATCGAATAAGATCCCATAATATCTTAAGAATATAAATCTCCCTTTTAATGACATTCGATATTTAAGAAATTGCAGCAATATCGCCGAATATGAAATCATTTTGAAACAAGAGCGTCCAGCAGCCATCCTCCGGAGCCTGGAACCTTGCCGCACATTGCACCACGCTCTTCACTGCGTTACTGGGTTTATTGCATTTATTGAATTGATTTGAAGCCTTATTTCACGTGGCGAGTCTCAGGCTAGTTCTCCCGTCTGACCACGCATATTTCGCTACGCTCCTTTCACCAACTAGCAGAGAAAGGAGGTATTACTCGGACGACGGAACAGACGATTTGAATTTGGCTCAGAGGCTCGAGGATCTTTTACATGCAGTAAATCTACTCAAAGCCGGATTTACGTCCCCCTCCGAAGGATTTTTTTCGCCCTTTCGCCCCCTTCTGGTTGGGCAACCTTGTGGGCGGCGCTGGCCAGCGCTGCGCAGAGACAGAGATAGCTTCCGGGAACTCCCAATATTCTGTCTTCGCCGACTCGCTGCAACGTAATGATAGGAATTTCAATTGTTATTCAAAGTACACATATTCAGTCAATTATTGATGGCATTTAATGTATTTTTTTATGATGTTTAGAGAATTTGTTTTCATTTGCTAGTAGATTTATTGATTCCAAATTACGATTCCCGGGCAATCTCATGTGATCATGTTAAATTGTTCTAACAAAACGAGATCGGCTGCTATACAAGGGCTAGTCCATTTACTGTGAAGTGTCCTAAACCCTTCCACTATCCTAATTCTGGCCGCTGAGTAGAAACACAGGAGCGCGTAGTAGGAGGCGCGTACGCGGAGATGCTATCTGGCGGTCCTCTTGACAACTGCCTGCGACGAGACGTGACAAAGACGGAAAATGCTAATGGAGGATTACTCCAAGAGCAAAGCTCTCAATGGCGCAACACAGACGCAACGCGTCAACCCATACGCAGCAAATTTTAAAAAAATGTAACCTTGATGAATCCTTTTGGAAGGAATCAGGGAAACTGGACAAAAACCTGATCGAGATGGGCGCCATTGACCCACAAACCGAAGTAAAGTACTTGTTACATATTCTTTAGAATTATACTATCCAAAAAGTAAATAATATATTAAATTAAAATTAATATTACTTTTCGATTAGATGCTCGGTATAGTCTCTAATTGTATAGAAACAGTTGTGCGGCAGAAAATATATTACTTAGGATTTAAACTTTTGCATCGAATATAATCGTTTAATGCCATCTGGCAAAGTGTTGAAAAATAATGCACATGTATTATATTTGAATTTTTGTAGTGAGCTGTTGATAGCATCTGATGAATAAGATTACTACGTCGAGTGTTGTAAGCGTCCTTGTGTCGAGATGTATTTGACATATTGTTTTTAATATTAAGAGCTTAGAACAGATGTACAACTTTCGTAACAGTTCGTTATGACTACTTGGATTGCTTACTGCTACACAAATCGTTCGGGAAAGACGTGAATACTTTTCTCATGTAAGAAGTTATACATATGGTTTGGAGAACAAAGTAACATTTGAAGGAAATGTTTAAGTTTCGTGATTTTTCCCCTTATATTAAAAAAGGAAAGCACTGAGGATTAAGAGTTGAGCGGAAGTAACATCGTTGCGTTCATTCCAGAGAGAGGATTTGGTACAACTTTATAGTATGGGTTGGAAACTAGCAGTTCCAACAACTTCAACAGCTTCTCTACCACACCCCAGAGAAGTAAATTTGTGCACGAATAGTTTATCACTGATGTTATTTAAATGGATAACTAAAATATTGCGGTTGTCAACAAAGAAACACGAAGTAATTTGCACAATGTGAATCAATTGTATTACTGGCCAATCTACTAAACTCTAAACTTGAGCACCATGCTCTTTTGACTCAGATGAGAGTACTTCATATTTATGTAAAAAAGTGAAATAAAAAGTAACAGTGCAATAAAACAATGTGCTGTTCTTTTATTTGTGCAGTAGGTAGTACCCAGACTTTAAATATTGCGACAACTCTAATTCCTAAGCATGTTTCGTAATGTTAGCAGTGTTAAGTTTTTGCCTACTTTCTGTGAGATCATGTGAAGAAATATCCAAACGGCAGAAGATGTACATCTAGCAAAGTACAATTCAGTTCCACACACTGTAAATACACTACTGCTAGGCCTTAATTTGTAATGTGTTTTAGTTTTTCTCTTCAATATTCCGAAGATAATTACGAAGTTGCATTGAGAAATGGGGCATTACTGGTTTATTCATCGCGCTTGCAGCAGCCGTGGTTTGGGCGGCTCAGAACCCGGGCTTCACATGCGAAACGAGCGCCGGCAGGTTGGCATTTCCGCCTCATGACCCTCGAACACGGCAAGCAGTGCGATGCAGAATGTATTTGATGTAAGCATCACTTAACTGATGGTGTTATTACTTACAAGTAAATATGTTTTCTGAAAGAAATTGTGTTTTATTAAAAAAACTCGCACTATTATTTGACATTTTTTCAATTTTCATTCCCCTGACAGAAATAAATTATCAATAAAATATATAGAGACAAAGTTAAAGAGTAAAACATAATTTTAAACGATAATAAACAAATTCCAGGCCAGTTTTTGACAAAGTTGATCAACAGTTTCTGATATTGGGACAATATCGAACTCATTTTAATTATTTTGGTTTTGTTTTTTAAAGGCAAGTTGCATACAAAAATATTGCTACTAAAATTTCTTTATAGAAAAATTTCATCTTTCAACTCGCAAAGAAAGCGATTATCCTCATATTTTTGGAGGTATTTTAAATTCTTGGCATTTTGCACTTCAACTTCTGCATTAATCATTATGATAAGGTATTATTTATTGAGATTGTGGAACAATTCCTCTCCAGAGGTTTTGAAATGACAGGAGTGGATCTTTCGTTCTTGCCTTGGCGAGAGGATTTCAAACTGCGTCAGCGTCTGGGGCAAATGACCGTTTGGATGGCACAGCCTGCACAACAACGTGCCGGTGGCGAAGGCAAGGAAATACACTTCGAGTTCATTGAGTTTCACCCGCGATTGCCCACAATCCCATCCGTAGAGCCCACGTCGTGACGTGTCTGTGCCCAATGCAACAAAGCACGTGGTTCTGTAGTGCGCCGCTTACCCCTAAGGCCACCAAATTCTATTATATTCGTAAAGTACACAAAAGGGCGATGAAAAATACTTTCAAGAAAAGTTAAAACTTGTGCTGCAGCAAAATAAAAAGATGCTTTCCTGCCAAGTTTTTGAATGCTCTTTTGGCACAATGGCAATCACGAGCGCACTAATTTCCGAAAAACTGCCCTGTGATTATTTAAATTCCGTCTCTGGCACAGCTCCTTTGGCAGAGCACACACAAAACCATTCACTGCAGTGGATGAGCTTGCGTCCGAATTAAACTGCTCTAGGGAGTGCTTTCGCTGCGCTCACCACTGAGCATTCATTTTGCGTGCAACCCTCACACTTCCAACTTGAAGTGTTTCTGGAAGATCCAACATTACCACGAAACTTAAACGTTGTGCGATTAGATATTGTCAATCTTCCGTCAACCTCTTGTGGCAAAGTAAGCTCTTATTTATCTGACATCACAAATAAAGAACATAAATACTGTCACATGAAAGTTTGGCAATCTACATCAGTTAGGGCTATCACCGCTGTGGATACGCATGTGCCTAACCAAATGACTGCTCTCTGAGAACCTCTTTTGGCAGACGGTACATTTATGAGGGCGTTCACCGCTGTGGATCCGCATGTGCTTCACTAAATTACTCCTGACTGTGAAACTCTTTTGGCACACGGAACATTTATGAGGGCGTTCACCGCTGTGGATACGCATGTGCTTAATTAAACTACTGCTCACTGAGAACCTCTTTTGGCAGACGGTACATTTATGAGGCCGATCACCGCTGTGGATACGCGTGTGACTAACTAAATGACTGCTCTCTGTGAAACTTTTTTCGCAGACGGAACATTTATGGGGGCGCTCACCGCTGTGGATACGCGTGTGACTAACTAAATGACTGCTCTGTGTAAAACTCTTTTGGCACACGGAACATTTATGAGGGCGTTCACCGCTGTGGATACGCATGTGACTAACTAAAGCACTCCTCCTTGTGAAACATTTTTGGCAGACGGAACATTCATGAGGGCGGCCACCGCTGTGGGTTCGCATGTGTGTAACTAAATAATGTTTAAGGGTAAAGCTCTTTTCGCAGAGAGAACATTGATGTGAGATTTCGTTCCTCCTCTTGAAATTTGTATGTTCATCACCACCTTCCTCTTTCTGCCCAATCCCAACTTTACGTCCGCTTCGTGAACAGCTCGGTTCGGAATTCGTCTTGGGGAAACGCGAGCCCTTCTCTGCGAGTCCGTTGCGCCCCAGACTCCCGCTTCCACTCACTCTTCTTTTGTCGAGAGTTTGGTAGTTTCCATCATTGCATAGGGGTATGGTGCAGAAGGCATTGCGAATTTGTGCCTTTGAGTCCAAGGTATCTCCCACAATGCCGCACTCTCCACCTGTGGAAAGAGTAGTTTGTTAGCATTGAAGAGGTCATTTTAGAAAATCTGCTCTCCAACCTGATATTATGGTAAATGATAAATATCTACAGCCACTGTTTGGGAGCTAGCAAAGACGCTCAATTGCTGCAAATCAAACACGTATCATCGGGAATTATTTACTTCTTGACAAGGACCATAACGTAGAAGTATTGTATTTAGGGATCTTGAAGTTTGTTTCTCGGTGAGATGAAAACTGAATCCAGTGGTTTGTGTAGATTTGTTCAGAGGACTCCGATGCAACACAGTTGCAGTAAAGTCTCAAGTTAAATTACCTTATTAATATAAGAGATTTATTATGAAGAGAATCATCAGACTAAAAGATCTAGATAATTTTCTTATAGTAGTTAACAGGATATATTCAAACTTTAAGGGTATTAAGACCATAACCTACGTACAAATGTTCGGAAAACCCGATGCAGGCCATTGGAAATAAAAAAGGCGTTACATGGAAATAAGTTTCACTTATTTTCACAGGTTGTTGGCTGCCTCCCTAGTAAGATGTGTGTTCCTGCACGTCGATATATGATTTACGGGAAATGTCTGAAAAATAGCTACTTCAAGAATAACCCTCCGGTCGCTGGATGAAATAACACGCGTAGGTTGCAAACGTCGTTTACGGTTTGGCACATGATCGGTTTGTAGGGAAATTAGTTCATCTATTTATTATAATCGGATTCTAGAACAAAATTGTAGTATCTAAATGATTATTTTCAAGGTCACAAAATTCGGTGTATTTAACCCCATTATGTTTCTGGTTTTGTGCCTTTCAATTTGGTTAGAAAATGTTTATTGTCACAAATCGAAGTCGGATAGAAGAATTTCTAATTATTTAAACTGAGAAGTTTGAACTATATTTTGATCCGGATATGCTTCGTTTATTTCTAGAAACTGCGTCTGGAAATCGAGAGGACTTGTAGCTTGTTGGGAAGATCGGAGAGTCCGAAGTCAATATCGGGGCAGACGAGTTTCCAAAGGGCAACGGGATACTCGGGGTTTCACGGGAGTGGGAAGATCGACATTAAGGTCCCGCAAAAGATTTCGCAATCGAATACCTGGGGGCTGGGGTAGCGATGTTCCAAGAATGTGTCTCATAGTTAGTCTGGGTAATCATTCGGCAACAAGGATGGCCAGTGACCTGACACTTCAGCACCATAAGATTCCAATAGAATAAGCCGACTTGTCTGTGAGGGTGACTCCTCCGCCTCTGATACATGGCGCCTGCTGCGAGGCGTGGTGTATGGTGTTGGAGAGGGGGAGCAGCAGTGGAAGTCGCCTCTGGATCCGCTGGACGAAGGCGGCAAAAGTCACTGCCAGCAGGGAGACTTTGCGCGCTAGCAAGATTGTAATTTTGTCATGGTTGCCGCAGTATAACGATGATTGCACTGAATGTGAGTTTATTTGCAAGCTTAAGGATGGCGTCGAACATCCTCAGTGTATTATTTGCTACGAAGTATTGAACAATGATGCCGTGAGACCCAGTCTTCTTGACCGAGATTTCCCAACTAAACGTCTTCTGTTACGGACTAATCAAAGCACTTTTTTCCGCAGAGTCTGAAAATTTAAATAGCATGAGGTTGGATGCATGTGAAAATGCACTTATTTTGCTACGCAAAGGAAAAGTAATATTTTTAGAGAGACGCAGGTTCAACCATGCCTGTTGCAGGCAGCTGATACCGTCAGGGTGACCAGCGACCTGGCATTTTAGAAGTTCAAAGGCGTTTCCACGTTTTGCAGGTTTTATACATTTTTTTTTCTGTTTTGCTTCTTAACTGCTCACGCACGTTTCCTTTGCAGACGAGTGCTAGAGTAGAGTTCTGTAAAACGAGCTTTAAAGAACGCTCCCGTTATTTGTTTCTCTAAGAAGCATATGTTACTTAATACGCAAGCAAGTAGTTATTCAGCCGGAAAGTTGATCTCTGAGCTGAAGCCAACGCGGCGTTTCAAGTTGAACTCTCTGGAACCTCTCTCCGCCAGGGGCCGATGGCGCCCAGGGCGACCTCACCCTAGGGTGGGTGAACCAATTTCGGCGATCAGGAACTTTGGCGTCACGTCTCAGCCTGAAACGAGTACGAAATATTCTTTGCGCACTAATTGGAGACTTTTGTTTTTAAATTAAGTTTCCACGCCCAAACAGCGGTGCTCCAAAGCACACTTTAGCCATAACAGCATATAGTCATCCTCCCCACTTTATTCCACATGCTTGTTTTCCACATGCGCGAACAGTGCTTCTGTAATACGTGACTCAAATTACGCCATTCTTTCTGCGCAACCCTACAGATCCAACAGGCAGACCATTTAGTTGCAAAATTAAAAAACACAATGTTGGAAACAAAATTTAGATACTTCCACCTTACCTGATCATTTGATTCAATTTAACTACTGCTTCCACACCAATCATAACTTGAAATTTCTTCACTTTAAATACAAAGAGATTTTTTTTTTTGAAAATTTGGAAATTTTAAAAATTTCTTAAAAATATTACTTTGTCTATCCTTAATGAACACTCCCTAATAAAAAGCAGTTCGATTTTGAATCTTTTATTGCATAAGATAGCGGCTGCCATCACTGAATTTAATTAAAATTAATTGGTTCTTCAAACTTACCAACAGGTAAGGCGCTATCGCCAAAAAGATTTTCATTGCACATTGCCAAAGGGTCCTGAAAAAAAAATCGTTAATCATGCATCACATTGTGACAACAGCCTCTTATTTATTCTGAGGCAAAAGATAATAAAACGCCAATACTTGCACTAACTCTCCCACTGTTCATTTAACTACATATGTCGCTCCTCCTTCCTCGCCTGTCACAGCTGGGGCTCGATCCTTCCTTTGTTTACCCGGCATTACCTTCACCTGAACCTTGCACTCGGTAGCAAGCTTGCAAAACACCCTTTCATAACCTCGCAGGTCCCGGTCAAAGACCATCCACCGCCCACATCTCCCAGTTCTCTTCCATCCTCCGGACCTCTTCAGCCCTAATTACCTCATCCCCTGACCTATCCTTACACTATTCTATCCCACTGTTCATTAACTAATATGTCGCTCCTCACTTCCTATCTGTCACAGCTGGAGCTCATCCTTCCTTGTTCACGCACTCGATGACTTTTTAGAATTCAATTTATATGCATCTGAAAGTTTTTTTAAAACTGTCGTTACATCGTACTACGACTCAAAACTATCTTACTTTGCATCTAAGACACTCGAACAAAGCGAGCTTTGGGGATTATTTCATTTTCTTGAAAATCTTAGAGATTATCTCGAACAAATTATCATCTATCTTTAAATCCATGTCAATGTTACTTTAGAAGATTACAATATTAGGTTTCTGAGTGAATCCTACGAAAAAAAGAAACAGTGTTCAATTTACTGCATTATTTTAATTAGATATTACATGATGTACTGACACGGAATACATTTTAAATCACAAAAAACAATACATCAAATTATAATTAACAAAATCATAACTAGATATGAAATAAAAACTACTAATCCTGGTTACAGGGACCACGATGCCCAAATACTTACAATTACTAATAACATGAACACTGACTCAAAACAATAATGCTTGCGTGTGCAGAACATTCGCTTAAATTAACATAAAACTATTTACGAACTACTTGCTATAGGAATCATGAAACAGTTTACAACACAACACAGCTATTGCCACAAACGAACATTATTATTCTCAAAGCATTCATTTCACTTTAACGCAGGCTTCCCTCTCAAAAAGAGAAAATTAAATATTTCACGGAAAAAGAATCCTGGGATCACACAAGGAATTAGAACTTTGTGTAAAACTAACGTACGCTCTACTTTATTTCTAAATATCTAAACGTATCCCCCAATTTCCATGTCTATTTCCGAGTATAAAAAGAATTTTAAGGAAAGTAATAATTCAGGCAAAAATAATGAAAAATAATCAGGATATTTTGAACGCAAGTAACAAAACTAAAGCAATGTGGAATATCGTAATAAATACGATCACATCATCTCGGTACTTAGTAGAGAATGTTGTTTTAGAGGATAATGAAAGAAAAGCAAGTAATCTGGAAAAAGGAGCTGATCTCTTCAACCCTTTTCTAGAATTGCCGCTGAACTCACAAAGGGACTAAAACCACAAAATTCAACATTATTCCCTTCCCAAAAAATGTTCGACACGATGCTTATTTCCAAAACTTCATCTGTTTTGGATAAATTTCCGGATTTTTTTATTGAAAACTTATGTACCTGCCTTTATACACCCGTTAACTCACCTACTCAATGCTTCTTTATGCACAGGAATGTTTCCAGATATTTTCAAAACGGCAAATATTAAGGCACTTTTTAAAAAAGGGAACAAAAATGAAATTCAAAATTACCGGCCAATTTCTCTTTTGTCAGTTTTCTCAAAAATATTAGAGATTTTTTTCTATACACAAATGGAAACTTTTCTCAGAAAAAGCGAAGCATTTTCCGACTTAAGATGTTGCTTCATCAATGGAACAAAATAAAGCACCCATTAGAATATTTTTAGATCTTTTAAAAGCTTTTGACGTTATTGACCATAACATCTTGCTAACAAAATTACCTTCTTCTGGAATTCATGGTATCGCCCTAGATTGGATAACCTCGTACCTTGACATGGACATCAAAGAGTAGAAATACCCTACTGACACGAAAGGACATTATTTTTTTATATTTCCAATTCTTTACCAATTGAATATGGGGTCCCGCAAGGTTGGATCTTAGGTCTTATCCTCTTTCTGCTATACGTAAACGATATGCCCTCGCCAATTAAAAACAGAAGAACAGTTCTGTTTGCCGGTGACACGAATTTTCTTTGCAAAAAGCAATCAATAAATAGTATGATTTCAGAAGTCTAAAATTAGTTTTGTAATAAATTAATAGTTAAAGAAGGAAAAACAGTTCCAATGCATTTTTGCATTTAAAATATGCAATTAGCAGATGTAAGGTTAACAAAATTTCTAGGCCTCTCAATTCAATCAAACCTTAAATGGAATGTACATATAACAGAATTAAACACTAAATTTAGTTCATTATGTTACGCATTCAAAGTTCAGTCAGCCTTCATGCAGCTCGTTGCATGTATTTTGCAAATGTGCATTCCCGCCTGAGATACGGCGTAATATTCTTGGGAAACTCTTCATGTAGTACACAGACCTTTAGATCGCAAAAGAAAATTATTCCAATAATGAAAAAATCCCAAAAGCCAATCAAAAACGCCATCCGCGTTACCCTCGCAAGCCTCTCTGCATTGAGCTTGGAATCCTACCACTACCTTGCTTATATATTTACGAATGTGTATTATTGTCAAAAGTGACTTAACGGCGGGAACATATTTTAATGCAATACTGATATTTATAATTAGAACACACGTCGTAAAAATCACGTTCATCAGGTGTCAGTATCAACAGCTCACTATCAGAAATCCACACACAATACAAGTACGTTACTTTACAACGCACTGTCAGATGACTTTAAACAATTGAAGCTGGTTCACAAATTTAAGTTAAAAGTAAAATATTTTCTGGAGCGTAACTGTTTAATTTATTTTTATTTAACTGCTATTTTGTTATCAATGCAGAAAAATCATACTTGCAATTCGTGTACCGATGCAAATAAGTTTTCTATAACTCAGAAATGAAAAATACTATTTTTTAAATATTGCCCGTCTTGACATTTTTAAAATTTATTTATATTAAACTTTTACTCATTTTTCAACTATTTATAGTTAAAATGACGGGAAGAGATTCTGGAACTCAAGAAAACGTGCGCAGATAATATTTTTTCCCCCTAAGTCACATAGAGTTTTTACTGTTTTTTTTTTCTTTCTTTTTTTGTTTTTACTGAATAAATCTAAAATCTAAAACTCAACCTTTAACAAGTATTGAAGTTCAGCTCCTGTGTCAATGACCCCCATCTCGATCAGGTTTTCGTCCAGTTTCCCTGATCCTCAAGCGAATGCTGAGATTGATCCTTGTTTTGCTTCTGGACATAAATGTAATTTCAAATTAACTTCTCTCCACAGCACGGCACACAGAGTTTTTTTAACTGTGTTTGACGTAAATAAATAAATTTACGTCACTTTTGTATGCACGTTCACTTTTTTTTTCAAAAAAAAAATCAATTAATTCGAAATCATGTATTTTGATGCATAGAAATAACATTACATGTCTAGGTTCAAAATTGTTTTCGAAATAAATAAATCACATGGTCAAGAAACATCCCACACCGGATCACAAATGAAACTTACTGCGGTGAAATGGGCAAAACGGCTGAAGAAAAAAATCCTTTCCGGAAGCACTCGCACAATATCTCCATAGTCCGCAAGTAGTCCGATTTGGCCAATGCCTCGCGGTTGCCGTGCGTCGAGGCCAGCTGTGATCCCGCTCACGCTCAAGTCCTACACTTCAACGTATCTGCTGGTCGACAAATAACATTCGTTTCATCAAGGTCGCAGGGGCAGGGCTTTCACGCGCACATTGGGGAGCCGGGATATGACAAGTCTCAGGTGCACTTTCGCGAGGGGGAAGACAACATCAAGGGGCGACCGGCTGCGATGCCTCAGAGCGTCTAACGGCAAGATGGAGGGGCCGGCTGCTCTAATGGACCACGGACCGCACGCGCTCTTTCCTTCCTCTTCCGTGTCTTAACCTCCCCCTTTACATACACACACTTACACCCAACAAGTGGAATATACCAGTTTGGGGAAAACACCACGCCACAGTGCCGCATCACACTTTCCCGCTGACATCTCCTACACAGACCGAGGAAAACATGCACAGCACTTATGGGACAAATAACGGCCCTTGACGCCCCAAATATTCGATGAATAGACGGCAGGCACACCACCCCAGGCATTTATTTGTTTCATAATAAATGCCTTCATTGTTGGTAGTCCTTGAATCGTTTTCATATTCATATTCATGTTAATTCCTATGCAAGGGCTCGGTTTCAGAATCATGATCCCATTACTCTAAATAATGCGAATCATCTCCTCTGTCCACGTACTTCCCAAACATCTCCCACGAATTGTTCAAAGCCCTCATCATCAGGTATAATTGAGGAAGGTCCAGATGTTCCTTGGATATCACCCATATACTTCTACCAGGTCATATGATATATTATGGAAGAAATATTATTTCTATAATTACATATTATCTCGTTTTGGTATCACTAAGAGAAAACAATATACTTGGGCAGTTAGTACCGGTGGTATCTCGTACCGCACCACACAACACTTTACGTAACTGTGAAAAGACGCGACTTGAGATGCTCTTACTTTGTTCAGACATCGTCCCTAACAAGGAAGGCTTTGAGTCGCTGGACGTGTAGACATGACAAGCAGTTATTGTTGCGCCAGCGTCAACTTGCCGGCGCGGTTCACGAGACCGCAATGCCAATTAAAGGCTACGGGTGTTTGACAATGTATTAACTACCAATTAATAATATTTGTGCGTACGTTTTTGGACTTTCATTTAAATAGATATGAAACAAAGTTCACAACCAAACTAATAGCATACATTGTAAATAATATACACGGATCTCAAGTTAAAGCATTGCTCTCAAACTTCTAACTAGCTACCTTTCAATTAAAGTTCAGAGAATTTTAAATAAAACAGCACGTTTGTTTCTACTAATTCACAGAATATCCTTATTTCATAATACATATTCATGTTACAAGTTCACATTGCAGGGACCGTTGGTATGACAAGTAAAGGTAGTTTTTGAATGGTGATGCAGATTTTTGATCACTGTATAATTACATCAAATGTTTTTACGTAAGTGTTGTAAATTGTTACAAGAATATCTGACTGAAATGCTGAATAAACCTTTATTGAAAATTCGCTTCAAACAACAATTGTGTTGCTTTTTATTTTTATTTGATACTCTGTAAGTAAATTAAAAGTTATCTTCATACATTTTCCTTCTTTATATGGAAATAGAAAGATATGGAAGAGGGTAGGGTATACTAGTTACATTACATTGTTCTTGTTAAAAACCTTTTCAAACAGTTCAACTCACCAGCGTACAACACTGCTTCTAATCTCTCATATTGTGGCAACCCTTTCTTGAACGACTTTCAGAAATCACAAATAGAAGTTAAACCGTTTAAAACGGAACTGTGGTTAGAGGCTCTATTCTTACCTTTTGTTCCTGCTTCACCTCTCCAATGGGCACCTCCTCCGGATTCAGAAACACTTCGAATGGTGGCTTTATTTCCTCCTGAAAGTAGATCGAAACTCACCTACTTCTTTCTCTGATCACTGGTTCCTAATCACATACATCACACATAAGCCATAGAAGATTCGGTTAACAATGCACATAGGAAATACAACTCCCAGGAAATAATACTTCACCTCAAAACACTAAGGATGTGCAGTCAGAGGGACAACTCAGATATCTCCCAGGCATTTGCAGCGAATGAAAGGGAGTGAATGAATAGCATCAGCTCATCAATGGGAATTTTTTCATACTGAAGATTTCACAGACGTGGACTGCACTGTCACACTAACAATACGATTTAGTTAGAGCTGTACGGAAGAGGTGAAAGGGCTTCCTGAGTAGAAGACAATGAGTATAAGGAACAGGAAGATACAATTATAGAAATTGTTACAACAGTGAAAGGAATACTGAAGGGTTCTTCACCACATATGATATTTAATGAGAATGTGCATTGAAATATCAAGTGTAAAGAAATATATGGTAAAATTAAACCAAATAAATAGCTTTAGCTTAAAAATAAACAAAATCATAGTAACTAACCCTTTAGTGTCTGCTTCGTTTGGGAATTTGGTTTTGTCTTATACATAATTACTTTCTCTATACTACGTATAGAGTACAGGTTGAGGATAGAGTTAAAAATAAACTATATATCATTGTAATTACCCATTAGTGTCTGAATTTTTTGGGGGAATTTGTTTTTGTCTTATACACAATTACTTTCTCATATACGTAGTATAGTGAAATTTATGAAATGCTGTCCAGAATAAATTGCGAGATTTCAAAACAAAAATCACGTTTTATAGTCTCCTGATACCTCCTGATAGGATTGTTTTCAAAATGGATATTCCCTAGACAATCTGGCTTGGCTCGAGGCAGTGAGATTTTCAAACTTTTCTAAAAATTGGGGGGTCCTTTACACAAAGCCCCAGGGAAATTTTCAAAATTTTTCTCACATATGGCTACAAAAGATTTCTTTCTTTAAGAATACACTTCTAATGATGGCATATATACGTTTTCCAATGTTAACTTTGAATTTTCAAAAATTTTAAACGTTTGATTTCTTTGGAGCCTTTTTGCAACTACAAAATTAAAGTTAAGAGAATCTTCTTCAATGCAAATTTGTTTCCATCTAATTTTATGTTTTTGTAAATGTGATTTTATGACTTTAATTGTAAGTTTTTGACTGCTCTTCACGTCGTTAATTTTTCAATTGGCGGCTCATATTTTGCTTATATGATACGAATGTCTTTCAATGATATCTTACACGATTTTCTCAATAACATCAAAAAGTATACCCTGATAATGAACTAAAAATTACATGTTTCAGAATGTCTAAACACATTTCTCAAACCAAACTCAAGTTTTTCTTAACTCTTCAAACAGTATATGTGCTAACATGGCACTGATTAACATAACATAATTTCATTGAGTTATTTCTTTCATCTTTAAGTCTAACACAAATGTATTTTTTGAAGATATTCTCACACTTTAGAATATGTAGATTTCACTATTTGTATGCATTATGTTTTGTGCATGAATGTGTTTCTAATGCTTTCAATGATTTTTTTTTGAAACATGAAATGTTTCGACACATTTTCTTAAACTACTTCCCCCATATATGTTTCAATGAAATCTTATTAGAGATCTTTTTTTCTCTTCTTTATTATACCTAGAACTTGTATTATATCGTTTTATATTAGAAAGTGAAAATTAATATATTTTATAATTCACCATATAATGCCATTTCCAATTGCTTCAAAAATATTCTCTATTATTTTGCTCTCCTGTGTACTTCAATTCTCGACCATGTGACAAAAAACTGCACTACTCGTCCATACTGGTCCATCTAGACCACCAAACACAGAGAATAGTGTTTTGTTCCAATCACCACCTCCTGTGTCAAATCTGAAATTTTTTATAGATAATTTCCAAGTTTGTGATGCCACACGTATGTGAATTAAATCGTCAGAATACAACCAGCAACCATTCTTGAAAATTGAAATGTGTTTGTTTAGTACCCCGCATCCCACAAAATCATGAAGTGGAGCTTGCATGCATCAATTGTTCAGGACGAGGAATGACCGTAAGTCAGTTTCACTTTAGAACATTGTAATAGTCCCATGGAGGTTTCCAGGACATTTCAGGCTTTCTTTTCACGTGAGAGGTTAGTAATCAACATATTGATTACTCTGTAAAATGACGACACACAACAATTATTGCGCTTAAAATAAACTTCAAGAACGAAACCTGAATTGCTCCTGTCATATAATACATTTATTTGTGTTCAAATATCACGTCTAAGGCATTTGCGCTCCTTTCGTGATGTCTGTCCTAAACAAGGAGTCTAGCGTTGAAATTATAAAAAATTTATGGCGCCACAACATACACTTTAAAATTTTAATGGTATTGAGTAAACAACATTCGCGTGAGTTTGTATTAAACATTTCTTGAAGTTACAGCGCTTACAGAGTAACGACTCTTGTGACAAAGATTTTCTTCCAAAATTTTGATGTAATCCTACAATACCATGTGTGATGAAAATATCAGATCAAAATTTTCAAATACTTACATTTGTTGACTGTGCAAGTTTATCAATTGAGAGCATATTCGTCTCTCTTCATCGACACATTGATATGTTAAGAATTATTAAAGAACGCATAGCAACTAAAAACTAAACATTGTCATTTCACATATAGTTCACAGTGATTTCTATAAAAGTAAAATGTCTTAACTTTAAGTTTAGAAACAGCGCAGCATGTCGTTCATTCTCAATTGCATGATTTCCAGCAAAGGAGGAGAAAATTAATATTAAGAGATAATACTACAGTAGGTAAATATATTTACAAGAAACCTACTACTTTTTACAAATATGAAAACAACTATTTAAAAATTCCAGCACATTTGCATTTACTCATTTGGAGTATTCTCAATATGACAATTCAAGGAACTTTCATCGTGTGTTATTTACTTCTATTACTTCTTGAATTACTAGTCACCTCCGCTTATACACCAGTCATAACCTGGAGTCAATCTTACATGAAGAGCTTCCACAAAACTTTATCTGAGACCCCTATATAAATGAATATAGTGGATATTTTCTTTAATAAGACATACAATACTTAAGAGATGCATAATGTCATTCACGTATCATTAACTGACGCTTGAATCAAGGCTGTACAAGTCAAGTTGATGCTATCAATCCCCCAACTCTAACAGCTCTTTATTCAAATCCGCCATCAGCAACGCTCTCGTCTGAGTGAAGCTTTAAACCTAAACAGCAACAACAATCAAAAAGCAGTTAGTCTCTGGTGTTTATCGTCAACAAAGGTAAATAGCTTAAAACCAACACTGAAAAAATTTGCTTTTATTATTTAATTTTATGAAATAAAGATTTGCATAACCTAAACGAATTGTTACAGTTATTGATTTAGAAACACAGTAACATAAGGTACAGACAGGAAAAAAATAATTACGGAAGATGCTTTTTTTTCTTCTTTCATTGTATCAACTATTGCAAAGTATCAAGTAATTAATATTTCTTATAATCACAAAATCTGCCAAGAAATAGGCCTTCTCATGGTTGAAGTAACACCACAGGACTACCAGTTATTTCCCCCAAGGGCCCGCCCACATTGCAGGCCTTGCGGGCCTGAACATTATACCACTGCTGGGAGTGTGATTTGCGGTTTTGGGAGGTTTTGCGATTGCACGAAATATTAATTATTTTATACTTTGCAACAGTCGATTTAATAGAAGATTAAAAACAGCATCTTTCAGAAGAATGATTTTTCTCATTTCAGTAGCTGATGTAATCCTGTTTCTATATCAATTATTAAAAAAGTACATTTATGTTTTATCAGTCTTAATTTCATAAAATTAAAAAATAAACGCAAATTTGTTTACTAATGGTTACTTAGATTGATTTAGAATGACAAAATTGAATTTGTTAAAGGATATTTTTATTATTAAAGTACAAACAGTTCTTGTATTTGCTATACACTTTTGTAAAAGAAGCAAGGATTCATCGTTTTTTGGGCAGACCTGCATTCATTTCATTACACTATTGAGATGAAGGGTTGTATCATGTTGAAACATGTGCGGGAAATATTACAAGTAGTCTTTATTTTTCATATACTACCGCAATGTATGTGTACACAGAGGCCACATGCAATTTCAAAATTTATTCTTGTACTTTATTATCTATACTTTAATGACTTGCCAGATTTTAAAAGAAGGGAAAATTATGACATTCACTCACCTCATCATCTTCCTCCATTGCTTCTCTCGAGGGGTAGGTCCTGTCTCCTTCCTGCAAACAAAGAATACACTACGTGTTTACTACTGCACTGCATATACACCACACCAGGAAAGTCTCTCAGCGGTGGCACCTCGCTGGTGAGAGGGCTTCCAACAGAAATCATGTTGGTAGCACTAGCTGCACCTTCAAAACGTAAATTGCCTACTCACCACAATCGTAACAGATGCTGTATAGAAGCGTAGTTCTCCTCACTTGTTTCCCAGAGATCTGGTGGCTACCAAAATAAAATCAATTTTTAATAGGAGGCCCTGATTTGGCTTGGTGCACTCTAAATGTATACATACACATCTATATAAAAATTATGAATTTGCAAGTACAAAATCCTGTCAATAAAGTTTCAATTTTCAGAAAAAAATTAACTTGGCCCCAATGACACAATATTTTTATTGCAGCTATTTATTTATTTACTTATTTTTCATTCTACTACTAAAATTTGATATCTGTGCATGCAGCAACCACATGCAATCGCAATAGTGGCACACTAATGAACCTGTGAAAGTGTCTCAAGAACATTAATACATATTTTTTATCAATATTTTGTTTACATTTCAATTCTGTCAACAACATGATAGACACAAAGCAATATAGCCATGCTGTCTACTTACAACACCCTAGTCTCCGATATGGCAACACGCGAGGAATTAACATTATTTACATTAACTTTTACCACTGTGTCATATAGAACAAATACAGGGACAGAAAATAAAAAATAAATAACAGTCACAGTTTATAATTTATTTGAAATTGCAAGTTTCCTTTTCTTCTGAAAGCCTGGAATTTCTTACCTTTGCATCATTATTGAGATTTAAAAAGGTTATGCAAGATTTCTTCCACAATCTTTTGTGGCTTATTTCAACACAAGCAAACACTACCTTCAACATTGTGTTTTAATGATTTCTTACTCAAAATTCATTGCAAAGAAAAATATTTAAGAACATTCCTCTGGCAGTCTACCTCCAAATATAAACACATCATGATCTTAAAAACAAATTCTCAGTTATCTCATATCTCCTCTATTTAACTTATTAAAGTACTGATTACCTTCCAGGTCTTCGTCCCCTAACAATGCAACACATGCTACACAGTAAAAATAGATAACATCGATTGGTGAAACACATCCCACAAATCCTGGCCAGAAGTTATATTAGCATTTAAGTAGTCGCATCCAGCAGAATGAGAAATGAATACAGAGCCAGGGAATGAGCTCATTACTTTTCCTCTCCAGAGCTTTTGTCACACAGGAGACACAGCACGTCTGAATTAAAAGAATGCACACCCAAGAGTCTCTTATGATGAACCTTCTTTTCAGCCTCTAGAATGTCTGATACAGCTACATTGTAGTTTGTCCAAGAAAGCTGGCAACTCCTTTCTACAAAATTATTTTCAAATTTACCATGCGAAATGTAAAGTGCACTTTGAGTTCATTCAATCCTACATGAATCTCCTGGAAAAACCCCGAATGCACACCAAAACAAAGCACCCAGTGTGCCTTTTATATAACAGCTACTTGGACTTTTACATATTTCTCTAAGAAAGAAGCCATTTCATAAACTTACTTAATAACTCTTAACCATCTGACTGACAACTGACATCCTTTATATTAACACTAGTCCACCATTTAAGAATCAGTTCAACAAATCTTGCAGTCACTTGCTCGAAATGTCAGCTGGACAGCATGTGTGTTTTCATGTGAAATATTCAAATCCAAGTTTACATTTTGTTTTCCTAAATTTGTACGGTAAGGTTTCATAAAGTAAAGTTTTGAAGCTCTTTTAATCAGAGAGTATTTTTCTGTAAAGTCCTCTAAGGTCTGAAACTTTTACCTTTAAGACCGACTCATTGCCAAAAGAGTGTAGAAAACAATGTTTCATCAACATCCTTCAATTTCACCCAAAAGTACTGACTAGATTTGTTAAGGTGTACTTTGTCTACATAACAATAATTTCATCAGGAAATAAACTGACCTTAAAAATGAACTTCCTTCTAAAACATAACATGTAAAATATTGATCCAGTGGTTGTCAGATTTTTTTTTTTTTTTTTTTTTTAAGGATATTATGAAACAATTTCTATATAATTTTCAATCAAGATATTAGAAATTCTTGCACTGAACATGCTTCGCACCCTAAATAATTTTCAGTATAACCAGAGAGATCAATATCTTTGAAATCACAATATTTTCAGAAAGCGACCATTTTAAGCCTGCCAAACACTAGCAACACAAAATTTGAACGATTATTTTAATAAGTGCTGAGGATGTGAAAGACAAAATATTATTCGCTTGTAAAGTATTATGACATTTACGCAATTGCATGATCATAAACATCACAGAGTAAGAAGAACATTTTTCTATTAAGAAAGGAGACTCTCAACTTGTTCTTTTAAAAATGCATGACTTAACTTCATCTCCAAATCTGAATAAATAACTATAAGATTTTGTAATTGTGTCCAGAAACTAAGTTTTAAGGTATTGGGCAAAATACTCTTCACATCACTTGCAGTGATAAAAAGGGTCATTCACTGCAATATGAACAATAATATTTAAATATTATCTCTAAAATAACTTCATATATAATCAAATACTCAATCATTTATTATATATTTATATATCAAATCATCAGTTTCATGCTTCACCGTAAAACCGTAAAATCTCTGCATTTGAATGCCATCCAATGGAGAATTAATGCACTAGTTGAATACACGTACTAACAATTAACGTGCTTAGCAGTGACAAAGAAATTATTAAAATGTTGATCAACACGATGTCAGTGAAAGTGCTAAATATAGGGGTATATTACAGATATTTGTTGGTTCAGTTGCAAGAGATAGACAAGGTCTTATTCTTTTGTAAACACCATCCTTGTCTTCGTAGTTTTCCATTCTTTCAAAGCCACATTCTTTTAAATGAATAATGCAAACATATTATTTTGCAGTTTTTCTCCAATTCATCCTTGGATTAGAAGGTTTCCATTTTCTTTGCGGTGAAGCACCTCAAGAAAGTTAAAATACACTATCATCTGAATTATTGGCGTAATTACTCTGACAAGGCACAGAGCTTGTGTTCGGTATGTGAAAATATCGAAAGAAAATCCTTTGCAGAGCACTATTAATTAATCTAACATATTTCAATAAGTAGCAGGTATTTACAGACCTCTCTGGGCTCAGAAGAAATTATTGTTTGTAAATAAACAAAAACTACTTCATTATTTTCAATGTTAGCATGCAACTTAACTCCTGCAGCAATTATTATTTAAAATATAATTATATATTGCATCTGTAATTTTTACACTTATTGTCCTTTACATGCTTGATAAAATAATACTTAAAATACAATATTAATTAAAGAACAGAAACAAATTCACTCTGTGCTAA